CCCCCTCTGCGTTTTTACTATTTTGTAGTATTACCATTTGGAATTAAAATGGATTCTTTGGGGGGTTTGTATCATTTGACTTACACAACATGCCTACCACTTCGAAGATGAAAAATTATTTTTGTCATACAAACAAAACAAAAACACAAATTTTGAGTGTGCATAGCTATCCCCCCAGTCAATACTTTGTAGAGCCACCTTTTGCAGTAATTACAGCTGCAAGTCTCTTGGGGTACGTCTCTATAAGATTGGCACATCTAGCCACTGTGATTTTTGCCCATTCAAGGCAAAACTACTCCAGCTCCTTAAAGATTGCTGTACACCAGCGAAACCCATCCAATTTAAAGTCATGCCACAGATTCTCAATTTGATTGGAGGTCTGGGCTTTGACTAGGCCATTCCAAGACATTTAAATGTTTCCCCTTAAACCACTCAAGTGTTGCTTTATGTATGCTTAGGGTCATTGTCCTGCTGGAAGGTGAACCTCCATCCCAGTCTCAAATCTATGACAGGCTGAAACGGTTTTACCTCAAGAACTTCCCTGTATTTACCATCATTCCTTTAATCCTGACCAGTTTGCCAGTCCCTGCCGATGAAAAAAATCTCCACAACATGATGTGCTACCACTATGCTTCACTGTGGGGGATGGTGTTCTCAGGGTGATTTAAGGGTTTTCGTTTGTGCCAGACATAGCATTTTCCTTGAAGGCCAAAAAGCTCAATTTTAGTTTCATCTGACCAGAATACCTTCTTCCATATGTTTGGAGAGTCTCCCACATGCCTTTAAGCAAACAGCAAATGTGTTTGCTTATTTTTTTTTTCTCTATGCAATGGCTTTTTTTCTGGCCACTCTTCCATGAAGGCCAGCTCTGTAGCGTGTACGGCCTATGGACAGATACTCCAAGTTTTTTTATAATTTAAAAAAAAGTTATTTTCTTGATTTCACTTCACCAATTCGGACTATTTTGTGTATGTCCATTACATGTAATCCAAATAAAAGTCAATTTTAATTCCAGGTGGTAATGCAACATAATAGGAAAAATGCTAACGGGTAAATACTTTTGCAGGCCACTGCACTGAGAGACACAGAAAAGTTGAAAACCAGATGCCTGGCTGTCCGTTGCTGCTGTACTTTGAGTGACTGATCTGGAGCAAGCATGCCGATTACAAAGCCAGAGTGAATTTACCGCTTCTGATCTGCATATGTATTCCAGGTCCGTGCTTTAGAACTGAAGCCATTGTATCAGCATGACAGCCATGTAACTAGCATTAAAAAAAATTAAGGAAAAGGTAGTTGTAATGTAGGGCAGTGCCTGCAAACTTACCATGCTAAATGAGCCTTAAACAATAATACAAGACTTATTTACATTGGCACAGTGGTTTATATCCACCCATCTTAATACACATAGGAATGCCATGACCTTAGTATGAAAGTGTTGCTGTACCAAAACAGACACCGAGTGTTTAAGTGGAACCTTTGTAATAAAATGGGTCTAAACATAAAACATATCTATTAAAGTAGCTTTTTGTGTTCTTTTCTTTTTCTGTTTTGCAAACCAGGGCATGTTGCCAGTAACAGGCTTAATCATAACCTTCTGTTCTTGGATAATGCTCCCTGAGCAGTTCCCTAAGCCAGGGCAGCACTTTTACCCTAGAATACTTGTTCCCAATGAAGATTATAAACTGATATGCCAGCACAAAGAGCTGCATAATTCAAATTGAGGCGTGCCACTATCACTCTTCACACAGACCAGAGTCCCATCGACAAACTATGGAAAGGAACAAAGAAGGGATCAAGATAAGTCACCCTCTGCACTGCAACAGAAGTAGTTCAGGCTAACATGGCCATGTCATAGCCAACAAATCAGTACAAAGCAAAAATCAAAGTTTTCGAAGAAATCAAAGAAAGTTAAATGTGTACTGTGATGTCACTGCTGTTTGTCTAATCACAGAATGCCTTGTATTCTTTGTGGAGTAGAGTGACAAGAAAGGCTAAAACTGGATCCTTGAGACCATAAGCTTGAATGATGGTCTTTGTAAATCACCTAGAGATGGTGGAATGAGATGCCGATGCACCCTTACGGGGTCCATTCGGGATCACAAAAACGGAATCCGCCTTCCTGGAAGAAGCAATGGCTGAGAGATAGACTGTCACCGTTCAATCCACTTCCAGACAATGAAGGGAAATTTCCTTTCGGTGAACTATTGCCGGACACAGGGAAGGGAGAACAATGTCTTGGTTGAAGTAAAAGGCAGAAACTACCTTAGATATGAAGGAAGTTCTGCGCCTCAACACAACTGTCTACCTATGTAGAACCTGAAAAGGTTCCATACAGGATAGGGCTGCCAGTTACAGACACTCACCTCGCAGAGGTGAAGGCTACAAGGAATTCAACATTGTAGATAAATGTAGAGTGGAATGTCTGTAATGGTTTGAAACAGCAGTCTCTAATTGCGGAGAACCAGATTCAGATCCTAGGAGAATCAAAGGACAATAAACAGGATGAGCTACATAGGAAACTCCCTGTACAAAAGTCGGTAATTAAAAGGAGAACTATGAGGCGAGTGCTTTTCACTCACCTCATAGTTCTAGCCGACCTGTGACAATGAGACTGTCACAGGTCGGCTCAGTAGATCGGGAGGTGAGCGAACACATACCAGCGTTCGCTCACCTCTCGATCCCGTCACGGCTCTCTGCCGTGACAGGGGAGGGGCTGGATTCCCCCCTCCCCGCTCTGATCCGCCAGCGCTGACTGGCGGAACGGACGGGGGAGGGTACAGCTGGCTCTGCCTCTAGATAGGCAGAGCCAGCTGTCAATCACGCAGCTGGGCGGAACCTGGCACAATTGTCTGGATCCGCTTCAGCTGCGGCATCTCAGGTTACCGCGAGCGGCAGCCTAGGGTGACGGGGGGATGCTAGTTTGTGTCCTCCCGTTACCCTAAGGAGAACTATGGGGAAAAGCCTTAACCCCATAGTTCTCCTTTAGGCCCCGTTCACACTGAGCGATTTATCGCGCGGTAATTCTAGCGATATCGCGGCTATTTACCGCGCGATATCGCTCTCCAATGCATCTCAATGGGGCTCTGTCCGTCGCTGTCACGGGTCGTGCGTCGCTACAGCAGGACCCTTTTTGGAGCGGATTTTGCCGCGATTCTAGGTTGCTCAATGGAAGCATGTGCGCGATATCGCGCAAAATGCAGATCGCGCGACAAATGCGCGATTTGAGAATCGCTCAATGTGAATGGGGCCTAAAGGAACAAGAGGCCAACAGCTTCTGAAACAAGGCAGAAAGGGTAGAAACTGGGCCTTTGATAGTGCTGAGAGCCAAACACTGGATTAGACCCAGCTGCAGGAAGGAGAGGATAAAAAAAAAATCCTAGGTGGAAATGGTAGACCTTGCAGGAAGTAGCCTTCCTAGCTTTTA